ATTTTGTCTTTATTTTTGTTAGAACAGAGAATCCTACGTCACATTTATATGTTGTTGTGAAAGGAATAAGAAGCAAAATACTTGCTTTACTTAAGGCAGGATATTCAGATGAGATGTTTGTCCAAAATGAGGACAACAACATGGATTTATGCTTTTTCTAAAGCATTAGATCACTTCTCAGCTGTAACATCTGTTTCTTCTTCAGGAGTTAGTCCTAACTCCAGCAGACATTCTGGACTTTCAAAGGCAAAGGGATTTTGAATCCACATTTTGCTGCTAAACATGTCATATTTCTCTCTTGGATAATGATGTTCAAAACTATCAATAAGTGTTACAAGTAGGGCTAGGTTAAAAAAAATCAATTTAATAGATCTGGATCGATTCTCGTTCAAATTTGGGAAGGTCAATTCATAAGTCACGAGATCGATTTTTTCCCCCATAGGTGTTGTGTGCGATGAAGCTGCACGTTATGTATGGGTATGTGTATATTTTTATATATGCCCTCCATGTATTTATCCATTTATTTTTCAGGTGAGTGGACGGATGTTGGGTGTGTGGTCCTGTGTTTTGTTGGTGTATATCTAATACACTTCTAATCGCTATTTCAGTCTTTCTATCTTTCTAATTACTTCTTTCTCTGTTTTTCTTTCTCTCTATTTTCTCTTCACAAAAAAAAAATCATAATGGTGTGGAGAGGATGGCTATAAGGGGAGAAGGGAGGCCATCCAAAAAGAAAAAAAAACATAATGGTGTGGAGAGGATGGCTATAAGGGGAGAAGGGAGGCCATCCAGAAAAAAAAGAACTCTTCCTTTGGAAAGTCAGCACACTTCCATGTGAAACAGTAGTGCTCCGCCCCCTGTCGCTGCACAGCTAATCAAACACTCACTGGTGATCCAGGGTTTGTTATTAGGGAAGCATCTCACTGTTCTACTGGGGATGCTGTTGTCCACACAGAAGTTTTTATAGTCAGTCACACACTCAGTCTGGTAAAGAGTCATCCTGTACGGCTTCTTCAGCTTCCTGTGACCACTTTCTCACAGTTCTGATAATTACAYGTTGTCTCTGAACAAGTAGTTTATAAACTGAACAAAACAAATCCAATGTCTTGTTTTCTCTGGTAGAGCAGCTGACTAATAAGTAAAAAGATGTAGCTGCTTCTTTTGTGTTGTTGGGTACAATGATATACATACCTCTACGATGGCGTCCACAGGACACGCCTCCTGACAGAAACCGCAGTAGATGCATTTAGTCATGTCGATGTCATAGCGAGTTGTCCTTCGGCTACCATCAGCTCTGGTCTCGGCCTCGATTGTAATGGCCTGGACACAAATGTTATAAAATGAAGGAAAATGTTCACAGTTTTATCTGCTGTTATCAACAACAACATTTTTACTCCAGTTTCTCATCAGAAACTGTTGGACTGGGCTGAGGATTGTTAACAACCTCACAATTCAATTCCAGTTTTTTGGGTCACAATTTTATTCAATTTAGGTTTGAATTGGTTTAAATTCAATTCAATATTATTTGATACCAATTTTCTAACAATAAGAAGTAAACACATAATTCATTAGAGCTACTGTGGATAGT